CATCTAAAACTAATGATGTAATGTATGGGGATTAACATAAGAATAAAAAAAAATAATAATAAAAAAATGAACTACTGGGACTTCATCAAGATAAAAAGCTTCTGCACAGCTAAGGAAACAACAAAACTAAAAGGTAACCTACAGAATGGCAGAAGATATTTGCAAATGACATATCCAATAAAGGGTTAACATCCAAAATCTATAAAGAACTTATCAAACTCAACACCCCCAAAAACAAATAATCCAGGTAAAAAGTGGGCAGAAGACATGAACAGACATTTTCCCAAATAAGACATACAGATAGCCAACAGACCCTGAAAAGATGCTCAACATCACTGATCATCAGGGAAATACAAATTAAAACCACCATGAGATACCACCTCACACTAATGGCTAAAATTAACAACCCAGGAAACAACAGATGGTGAGAATGCGGAGAGAAGGGAACCCTCTTACACTGCTGGGGGAAATGCAAACTGGTGCAGCCACTCTGGAAAACAGTACAGAGGTTCCTCAAAAAGTTAAAAATAGAGCTACCCTACCACCCAGCAATTGTACTACTAGGTATTTACCCAAAGGGTACAAAAATACTGATTCAAAGAAGCATACGCACCCCATTGTTTACAGCAGCACTCTCAACAATAGCCAAATTATGGAAAGAGCCCAAATGTCCATCGACTGATGAATGGATAAAGAAAATGTGGTGTATATATATACAATGGAGTATTACTCATCCATCAAAAAGAATGAAATCTTGCCATTTGCAACGATGTGGATGGAGCCAGAGTATTATGCTAAGCAAAATAAGTCAGTCAAAGAAAAACAAATACTATATGATTTCACTCATATATGGAATTTAAGAAACAAAACAGATGAACATGAGGGAAGGGAACAACAACAACAAAAAAAGAAAGGGAGGCAAACTATAAGAGACTCTTAACTATAGAGAACAAATTGAGGGCTGATGGAGGGGAGGTGGGCACAGGATGGGCTAAATGGGTGATGGGTATTAAGGAGGACACTTGCGATGAGCACTTGGTGTTATATGTAAGTGATGAGTCACTAAATTCTACTCCTGAAACCAATATTACACTATATGTCAACTAACTGGAATTTAAATAAAAACTTGAAACAAAGATAAAATTTAAAAAATAAATAAAAAGTAGGTAACTCAAAAAAAAAATTCAGAACATACACAATTAAGAATTAAAATCTATCAAAAACTCATGAAAATCAATTTAAGAAGACACACAATGTAATAGAAGACGAGTAAAGGGTATAAAAATTATCACAGAAGAATTAAGAAAAACAAATAAATATATTAAAAGATAACCAACCTCAGTAATATCAGAGAAACTCAAAAAAAAATTTTTTTTTTTAGAGGGACTGGTTCTTTATTTCAAAAAGACACTTGTCAATTTTCAGTATCAAAACAGTTTGCACTATTGGTTTCTTTCTCCCAATCGGCCCCCAGAGAGCACACCAAAGGAGAGTGCATTTTAGGCCAATAAGCTGCAGGATGCACACCTAACAGGCCTCACAGAAACCCCACCAAAAAGGGGAATTGGGGAGGGAAAGAAACTTTAAAAGATCAGCACACTGTCAGCCCACAGACTGTAGAGAGTTCTCAGCCAGACAGGGTGGCCAATGTGCCCCAACCCTTAAAGAAGCAAAGTTTCAAAATAATGTAAAATTTAAAAACAGTTTTGTACATAATCTATTCAAGATTTCTCCAGCACTAACTGATACAAAGCACGAGATCGCACTTTAGAGACAGCAGCTTCGGGCCCAGCAAAGGGTGATGAGATGGGAGTTTGTTTCATATGACTAAATCAGTGGCAAACACATAATTTTCTTTTTTTCCTTCAAGGAGGCAGGAGAGAAAATAAGCGGTCACCTCAACATAAGGGGAACACGATCCATTCTGTGGGCAGTTAGGGTAAAGATAGGATAAGGATTTGGTCTCAGATAGAGGTCTCACCATCTTAATTTAGAGAAACTCAAAATTAAAGATACCATCTGTTGCCCATCAAATACACAAGAAAGTTAAAACAATGGCAATATCCAGCATTGTCAAGGGCATGAGGAAATAGTCACCCTCGTACACTATAAATGTAAATGTAAACTGGCACTATATTCCTTTGGAGAATATTCTACCAAATTTTAAAATGCCCATGTCCTTTGACCCTGAAATACTACTAGCATTTTATCCCATGTATTTGTAATAAGAGCATAATATATTATTATATATTTAAGAAATACGACATTCACTAATGTGCTCTTTGTAAAGGTAAAAAAAATTGGAAAACATAAAGCTTATTACATCCATACAATGGAATACTATGCAGCTGTTAAAAAAGAATGAGTGAGAGGTAGATTTCCATATGTAGACATGGAAATATGTTTATGGTTACACTGGTAAGTATAAAGAACAAGATGCAAAACAATAGGAATAGTGTCACCCCATTTATGTTTAAGTGAAAAAAATGTATGTATATAAATTTGAAAATGCATCAGAAATATTCTGGATAGATGCATCCCAAACTGCCAGCAACAGTTATCTATAGGAAGTAAAATGAGATGGTAACTAGAGAGAATGAAAGGAGACTTTTTATTCTTTATATTTTTGTATTCTTTTTTAAATCACAAGGGTGCATCACTTTTGTCATTAGTGAATACATAAATATATATAAATCAAAGAATTATCTAAATTATATTTCACATAATCCTGAATCCCAATTCTATAAAGGTGGCTTTGTCACCCAACCACTGGATTGTTAAATGCCCTGAAAGTCTTATTCGCAACTAAATCTCAAGCATCAAGCACAGCTTCTGGTTCACAGTAAATGTTTGGTAAATATCTGCTGAATGAATTATTTAAGGTAGAAATGGGGGCGGGGAGCGCCTGGATGGCTCAGTCAGTTAGGCATCCAAGTTTTGGTTTCAGCTCAGGTCATGATCTCATGGGTCATAGATCAGCCTGGCATCTCTGCGTTCAGCAGGGAGTCTGCTTCTCTCTCTCTCCCTTTCCCTCTGCCCCTCCCCCAACTCATGCGACTCTCTCTGGAATAAATAAATCTTTAAAAAAAAAAAAAAAAAAAATAAATCTTTAAAAAAAAAAAAAAGTAAAGTAGAAATGGGGAAACTGAATTAACAGACTTTTCTGTAAGAAAGCACTACTACTTTTAGAACAAGTATAATCTTCAAATCAGACCATAAATTATAATATTCATATATTTTTTAATAAACCACCAACCAGCTTTGTTTCCTCTTTAAAGAGCTATGGAGGAGAAAGCCAAAAAAATAGATACTGTTTTTATTTTTATATATTTATTTTTTTAAGATTTTATTTGTGAGAGAGCAAGTGCACACGCCCACAAGCAGGGGGAGTGGCAGGCAGAGGGAGAAGCAGGCTCCAGGACTTGATCCCAGGACCCTGAGATCATGACCTGAGCCGAAGGCAGACGCTTAACGGAGTCAGCCCACTCAGGCGTCCTGATACTGTTTTTAAAAAGTAACAGAATCCCAAAGTGGCAACTGGTATTTGCTGGAACCAACAGAGCCAAAGCCAAGAGGCATGCAACTGCTAGGGAGTGTAATTATTAAAGGCCCAAGTTTTACCTACTTTCAATTAACTCCAATTTAAATTGAATATACTTACTTTCTCTGTATTCTATTTCTGCTTCCTTACGCAGTTTTTTCTCTCTGGCAAGAGCCTCAGGGCTTCCCCAAACTTCCAAAGATCTGTGCATACACACATGGCCATTAACAATGGACAATTTTAATGACTTTATTGTAATCATATTTAAATCGAGATGAACTGTAACTACCTGAGGATCTTACAACAAAGCCTAAGGTCCTTTAGGAAAAATATAAAGCAGTCAAGAAATTTTTCTAAATTAAATCTAAACAGCAAGTAAATTCAACAGCAAATTTTCTTATAAATTATCACATACTTTTAGTTAACTAGTACATACTAGTAATTTGCAGACAAGTTTGCAAAGATGAAAATACTCTGCTTTTAAAATACATCATTTAAAAACCTCTATCTAATATGGGTTTTTATTAATCCAAAATTTGGCTTGTACATTTATTCTAAAAGAAGTATGTTCTTACTTTGCCTCCACATCTGATCTCAGGTATACAGTAAAGGACTCGGTATCTTCATGAGGACTTCGTCGTCTGATTTTTCTAAGTTGTTCTAGATCACTGAAGAAAGAAAACATGCTGAATTTATTCAGAAAAGGTTCATACAGTTTTTGTTCTTTTCTTAGAAGGATTATTAGGTGTAGATAAAAGCCACTACCTAGATCCCGACCTTTAAAGGCTATACAGATCAGTTTAAGGCTTGAAAGATCAGTTTAAAGATGGCATTTCATTTTGTACACAAAAATTGGTCTAGAGACAATGAAAAAATAACAATTATTCTTGATGCTCACTAAAAATACATAATATGTATTACATAATATGCAGAGATTCAACTCCTTCATCAGTGTTTGTATTTATCTGCTATGGACACCCCACTGCAATGTCTGATGTGTGGAAAAAACATGGATCAGAGTACCATCCCCTACTTAAGAATTTAAATTTAAAATTTATAGTCATACTTGTTTATATCCAGATTAATACTAAATGGTGATACTAAATGGTAATACTATTTATAGGTATCAAGTCATAAAGAGTATCTGTCAATTCTATGTTATTTATTTTCCATTCTCTTGAATTCTGAAAGGTTTATATATTCATCAAGTCACTGCTCAACAGTCATTCTAAATTTGATCATTGTACTTCCTATGGAAATTTTATAAGAGTTATGAAAAGGCTTATAAATAAAAAGCTGGTATAAGTTCCAAGAAATTAAACTTGGGAGTTTATAGGGAACCTGGCTGGCTCAGTCAGTGGAGCATGTGACTCTTGATCTCGGGATTGTGGGTTTGAGCCCCACACACTGGATATGGAGATTACTTAAAAATAAAATCTTTAAAATAAATACAATACAATACAATAAGTCAACAACCAACCATCACATATTAGTAAAAAGTTTGGACAAGGTATCAAAGATATGTATTCTAACCCCCTGATGCTGCCTAGTAAATAAGCTGGGTCTTCACTAACATCTTTACTATGTTTCCTGGCCTACAAGTGGAGACAGCAATACCTAATCTACTTAACTCACAAAATTTTTGTGAGAACTACATGAAATACTCCATGTGAAACATGACATTGTTTTACATCAATGTCACAACTGGCTGTTAATAGTTATGAAAGTTATAAAACTGATTATAAGAATTCTTATTTCTTGATAATATACAATAGAGGATGTGACCAGGAGGGAAAGGGAAAAAAAAGGCTAAATCTGATGACTAAATTGCCAAGAAATTTTCCATGTAATATGACTTTCTTAGGTAAACACAGAAAGGAAGGGGAAATTTTTAATTTGTGACAAATATATCAACAAATCTCTACGATTACAAGAAAATTAATAACAAAAAGATACCAGAAAACAAAAATAATTTATGCTCAACAGAGTTGGAGTGTGAACATAAATGTAACTAAATTAATTACTCAACTCTGCTAGCCAAATAAACCCGTAACTTTAAAAAGTTAAACATACAAATATTCAAATATCTTATTGATAAGATGTCTTATCTGCCACATATTAACATAGTAATAAAACTCCTAAGGTTCTTGTGTGATACAGACATTTTGAAGAACCTGCTTTTTTGAGTTTAAGATACCACGAAAGACTGCAATTGCTCACACTGAAGCAGAATTCAGTTTAATAAGCTAACAATTTTAACATTTTTTAAACTGAACAAATAGTTCTTCAATTTAGGAAGGAGTCATGGGAAAGTTTTCACATGGACAGTAGCAAGTAACACATTCTAAGAAATAAATGGTTATTTAGATTAGCTAGAACTACCACATTAAAAAAAACCAACTGCTGTACCTGGATTTAAGGCAGAACTCATTTATTGCTCTGACTCCAGTGATGAAATTATTCTGAGTGTACTTTGGTCCATATTCCCTCTTCTTAAGGACTGCTTTGACTAAATTCAAAAATATAAAAAAACATAAAAAATATGCACACTAGAAATCACATTAGAAGATGAACATATGCTGATACTTAGGGGGTTCACTAATGAATTTCATAGAAAATTGATGTTTTTCCTGATGCACTGAATGGCATCAGAAGAAGAGAGTCTCCCAAGTGCAGAACAGGACAGAATTCCATTTGTCGCCATCTAGATTTTACTTCCATAGTCATCTGTAACTGATGCCAAAATGTCAATCCTTTGTCTAATGGACACCCTGTAGAGGTATTCCTGGTTTGTTTAAATTGTACCAATACAATATAAATTGTCTATGGCCTAAAAATAGTAATAATAAATTGTCTAGGGTCTAAATGAAAATGAAGTTTCAATAAAAAAATTATATGCTCGTTGAATGTTTTTCAAACTGTAGGGTGAAACCAGCATTTCATAAAAAATGAAAATAGAAAGTGATCAAAGAGTACCACATACAGTGAATAAGTACTTTTTGTGAAAACTTGTTTCAGTTATATACAATAATGTATGTACATAGTAGGTCATTAGTATTTCTTATGGGAGTTGCAGTCAAAAAAGCCTGAAAGCTGCTGGACTATTTCACACAGTCCATAAGAAAGCTGAAGTAAACATAAATATTTTTATCAGTTAAAAATTATAGGAAGTTTATTACAGATTATAGGTAAAATACTGCCTTCTATTAAATTGTTTCCCTATTACCAAGTATCAAATTGTTTATTAAAAAAAACCCAGAGATATCAATAACAAAATACCAATTTGGCATCAATTATAGTCTGTGAATTAAAAATTACACTCAATATAGGTCTATATTTATAAATCATTATAAAGTGAGACTTTTGGTCGTATGACATAGATAAATAAAATAAGCAAATATCTGAAGAGCAGGGACAAAACAATAGAAAGTCATGTGTTCTGTTTCAAACTGTCACCCTGTCACTTCATATTCTATTCTCAGATATTAATTAATGAGTTTTCCGTTGTATTTTGAAGTGGAAAGAGCAAATTAAGACTAAAATGATTCATCTCTACAGAGGTAAAAAAGACTTAAAATAACACATTAACTCATAAAATCAAATGTACAAATAACAATAACATTTCAAACATAAAGTTCAGTATAAAAATCAAAACTTTATTTGAAAAAAATACATCTAAGGAAGTTCAGGTTTCTTTTTCCATGAGTTTCAAGTCTCTAAACTGCCTTACTCTAATAATCCTAAAATTCTCTATCCAGATGAGCTCCTCTGGAGCAAAGAATTACTAATTTCTTTTAAAAGATGAGTGGTTTTTTTTTAAATTACTTTTTAAAGATTTCTTCAAAGTATATAGAAATCCCTATTGGCCTGTCCTGGTCCAGATTATTGATGATGATGACTGCTATCATGTTCATTATTCTTAGCTGTAACTATATACTATGGACCATCTTCAAGGTTATCCTAGGAAAGAAATCCCATTTTTAGCACAATCTGATAGGGGAGAACAACTATGGCTCAGGGAAAATGCCCAAGGCCATACAGCTAGTACATGCTGGAGCCACAAATTGAGTCCACTTTCGTCTGATGCCAAAGTCATGGTGCTTCTAATCACAGAGTAACCGCCCCTGTCAAACATGCTGCTTTGGAGACAGGAGCCATAGCTCATTACAAAGGGCAGAGCTGCTAACAAGAATGCCTTCGTCATTCAGTTATTCCTAAAAAATAAAGTTGGACAAGAATGTCCAAACTCTATCTGGATTTGAACACGCTGTAACTGAAAAGTACTGGTCTCTTTAATCACATTACTTTTCTAAAAATGATAAAGTAATTGATGTCTTTTATTTGCCATTACTGCCTTCTTTGGGCTTTTGAAAAAACAATTACCACAAAATTTATAACCAAAATGCAAAGTGAACTTCAGTAGAAAATTAGCTTATAAGCAGGAGAATAAATCTTTATGGCCAGTATATTTACAGAAAAGTAAAAATGGACTGTACACTCAGAATAATATAATTATACAGAGCTCTATATAAACTAATTTTGTATATTTAATTCAAAACACCATTATAATAAAAAATAGAATAAAATATATTTACCTCTTACTTGGAGAGGTTCTTGCTTAAGTGGAGCTTTCAGTTCAGCGCCTATATTTTCTGCTATAAGGTTTATTAAAAAAGTAACAATAAGTAGTTGCTTTCATACAAACCTATAAACTTAATATTAGCTAACGATCTGGCAATGTGTAAAAAAGATAACATATGATAGACCAAGTTGGATTTATCCTAGGAATTCAAGAGTAGTCAAACATTAGTAAAACTATTAATGCCCCTCATCATTAACAGACTAAAGGACAAAAGCCATAGAATCATTTCAGGAGCTAATGAAAAAGCATTCACTAAATTTCAACACCCATGCAAGTTTCAAGCCTTTTTTGAAAATTAACACAAAAAGGAATTTTCTTAAAAAATAAAACAAACCTCTAAAACATACTCAATGGTGAAAATTTAGATGCATTTCTTTAAAACAAGGAACAAAACGAGGACACACACTATAAATTCTTTTACTCAAAACTACTCTAGAGGGGCGCCTGGGTGGCTCAGTCGATTAAGCATCTGACTTTGTCTCAGGTCATGATCTCAGGGTCCTGGGACAGAGACCTGTGTCGGGCTTCCTGCTCAGCAGGAGTCTGCTTGTCCTTCTCTTCTCCCTCTGCTCCTTCCCCTGCTTCTGCTCTCTCTCTCAAATAAATAAATAAAATCTTAAAAAAAAAAATATTCTAGAGATATTATTCAGTGAGGAAAGAATGACTACTGAGTTGCTACTGGGACAACTATGTAACTCTCTCCCCCCGAAATAAATTAATAAATAAACAAAAGTTAAAAATTAAATATACGTCACCCCATAAACAGACAATTTCAGGTAGATTAAGGACTTACGTGTTAAGGCATTTACATGTCTAACAGACAACGACAGAGAATATTTTTATGATAGAGAGATTTCTCAAACAAGAAAAAATGGGTATATTCTGCTAAATCAAAACTTCTGCCCATCAAAAGATCCTTAAAAAAAAAAAAGAAAGAAAGAAAAGCCTCAAATTGGGAGAATATATTTCTTTCTTTTTTTTTAAGATTTTTATTTATTTATTTGACAGAGAGAGACACAGTGAGAGGGAACACAAGTAGACGGAGTGGGAGAGGGAGAAGCAGGCTTCCCACCAAGCAAGGAGCCTGATGCAGGGCTCGATCCCAGGACCCTTTATATTTTACAACCATCAGATTAGAAAAAATGAAAAAATATATCAATATCTAATGTTGGTAAGGATACGGAGCAATGGGAATTCATACACTGCTGGTGGAAAAATAAACAGGCACAATAACCTTGCTAAACAAGCTGCCATTATCGATATAGTTGAACACAAGCAAAACTTATGACCTAGCAAATTGCACTTCTAAGTCAATATGTTTGCCTTAATAGAAACTTGCACAAGAGTACAAGGAGAAAAGTATATGAGTGTTTCAGAGCCACACTGTTCTGTTGCTTCACACTGGAAACCCAAATGTCCATAAGCATGAGAAAAGACAGATATACCATGTTATAGTCATAGATTTCATACAGTAGTGAATATAATAAAAATAATAATAGTTATCTTTCTTTGAGCCTTTACTATGTGACAACCGCTATTTATTTACATTTATCAACTCATTTAATTCACACAACCCTCGAAAGTATGTACTCTATCTCCACAAAAATTAATGAACCAGACACATATACTGTTAGGATAAATCTTAGCAAAATTTAATGAAAAAAGTAAATCACAAAAGCATACACACAATAAGTTATCACACAATAAAGTATAAAAACAAGCTAAACAATTAGAGATACATACAAATGTCTAAATCTATTCCTTTTTTTAGAAATCGACACAAAATTCAGAATAGTCACTTTGGTTTTTGTTTTTGTTTTTTATTTCAAGATACTTTTTTTAAATATAGATTTTAAAGTAAACTCTACACCCAACATGGGGCTCAAACTTACAACCCTGAAATTAAGAGTCACAGGCTCCACCAACTGAGCCAGTCAGATGTCCCTCAAAATACTTTTTTTTTTTTAAGATTTATCAGGAAGAGGGGCAGAGGGGGTGAAAGAGGAGGAGGGAAAGAATCCTAAGAAGACTCCACACTGAGTGCAGAGGCCAACGCAGGGCTTGACCCCAGGACCCTGAGATCATGACTTGAGCCAAAACCAAGAGTAGGATGCCCAACTGACTGAGGCAGCCAAGAACCCCAAGATACTTTATTTTTAAAACAGGTCACAACACTAAGCTTTTGGCCCATTCTGCCAATGTACAAGCTAGAAACACTTGCTCAGCAGCTGAGGAGCACTCTTTAGTAGCATGTTTGAGAAGTGAATAAAAATCCTATAAAAATAATTATTCAAATAGTTTCCATAGGAACACAGATAACTGGCCCCATCTCCTAGCCTTCCATATTGTTGCATCCGTGCCAACTCTACTTACAAAGACTTTTCAAAACCAGCAGTAATTAAGTTAAATGGTCCCCCCAAATGCCACAATTCAAGCTAAGCTCGAAGTGAACAGCTACAGGAGTGGCACCTACACGTGAGTGCTAGCTGAAGCACAAGGGGGATGCTTCATCCTACTCTCCCAAGCACAGGACACAGACAGAGGCTTACGTCCTATTCCTCTACTTTGGGCTGGAAGTCATCGTTATGGATTTGCTGCATCAGTTGCCATGTTGGCACCGACATCTTATAGTATCTACCTGGCCTCTGGTACGCATCCAAAGTAGAAGCAGCAGCAACAGCGTAAGCACCCACGTTTTCAAAGAGCATCCAATCACCCACATGCATCTCGGGCAAATCACAGCTCTCAACAATGTGATCAAGGCTGTCACATGTTGGCCCCAATATGCTAGTTGAGTAGTACCTCGAATTTGGTTTGGGTCTCTTCTGCAGAAGGGGCTTCACATGTGCATGATCATAAAGGATCCAATTAAATGATCCATATACTCCATCATTCATGTAATAAAGGCTTGTTCACTCAATTCATCCTCATCATCAGAGCCTGTCTGTTCCTTTAATACGAGTGTTTTTTTTTTTTAAGATTTTATTTATTTATTTGAGAGAGAGAGAATGAGATAGAGTATGAGGGGGGGAGGGTCAGAGGATGAAGCAGACTCCCCGCTGAGCAGGGAGCCCGATGTGGGACTAGATCCCAGGACTCCAGGATCATGACCTGAGCCGAAGGCAGTTGCTTAACCAACTGAGCCACCCAGGCACCCCTTAATACCAGTGTTTTGGCAATGATGTTAACTGCAAACATGAAAGCTGATGTAACATAGTATCTGTCGGGCTCAGCTATGATTCTCAATCCTGAGTCTGACTCTGGTGTCAGAGGCTGAGGGGACTGACCAGGACAGTCACTTTGGATACATAGGGTGAAGGGAAATATGAGAATGTGATCAAATACAGTAAGGCTCTTAGATTGGGTGGTAAATTCCCAGGTATTGATTTTATTATGTTTTCTAATTTACATATATATTATATATATTCTTTCATATATATCAAATATTTTGTAATAAAAATCTCACCCTTAAAAAAATTTCCCTTGTCATCTAGAACTAATGATGTAATGTATGGGGATTAACATAAGAATAAAAAAAAAAAAATAACAGAAAAAAAAAATTTCCCTTGTATTTATATCCTCACTCAATAAAATACATTAAGTTTATTAATAACAGCTAACATTTACTAAGCATTTAAAATATGCCACATACTGAACTACAAGTTTTATGTGCATTATTTCATTTAATCCTAACAAAGCTGCTGAATTAAGTACTACATTATCTTCATCTTACAGATGAGGAAACTGAAGCACAGGAAAGTTTTCAACTTCCCCAAAGCCACACAGCTAGGATTTTAAACATGAAGGCACAGTCAGGATTGAAACTGAAGTCATTTTGATTAGTCTATACTCTTAACCAATTTCCTACATTGTCTCTATGTTTAAAACAACATTTGATATATGAGTGGATATTTGTGTATTTTTCATGGCGGCAGGGGGAGGGGTAAGGACAGAAGTAAAAACTGGATTAGCAACATGGAGGTTACTGGTAAGCTTCTGACAAAAGCAGTTTCAGCAGGAAGAATGGGGATAGAAGCAATAGGCTGAGGTGAGAATGGGAGATGAGATATGAAAGCAATATCTGGACTTTTAGCAGGAGCTAGAAAGGAGAATGAAATCAAGGAAGGAGTGACTGGATTTTACACAGAGATGAGAATGATGAAGAGGAAGAAAATGCTGGTGTAGTAGATCGAGAGGATAATAGTTAAGATTAAGAGCAAAGAACTTGAGCAGCTGAGATAGTAGAGGATCCAGAACATGTCTTTGAAAACATGTAATAAAAAGTGTTTCCAAATATTTAGATTATCAGTGTACTTAAATGATATGCAGCACCATGAAATCTGACTACTTGAGTAGTGGTACATTTGGACTTCTGCCGTTTTACTGTCCGTGTTCAGTTTACCATTCCCCCCCTTTTTTTTTGCTTTTATTTTTATTTTGCCTTTCTTGCCATCTGTTAGATTGATAAAATTATCTACATCTTCTTCCCACCCCATCCCCTATGATGGTGTGAAATTTATAAGATTATATTTCTTTTGTTTTAATGATTCCACTTAAAAATTTAATATACTTTCCTATAAATCTTTCTAACCATCAGTAAAGTTATTCAGTATATCAACTCTCCTCTAAACAAGAAAAAAACCTTTAATCACGGAAAGCTTCTTTGATCTTATTACTCTTGACTAAAATTTTAGTATTTAATATTTTAAAAGGTTGTTCTTGTTTTTATTATCAATAGTTAATTTTACCCACACATTTTATCCCTTGCTTGCTCTTCATGGTCTCTTTTACATCACAATACGTTTTTCTTTTTTTTTTTTAATTTTATTTATTTATTTATTTAGAGCACAAGCAGGAGGAGCAGCAGAGGGATAGAGAGAAGCAGGCTCTCCGATGAGCAGGGAGCCCAACACGGGGCTCCATCCCAGGACCCTGGGATCATGACCCGAGCCAAAGGCAGACACTTAACTGAGCCACCCAGGTGCCCCTCCAATGCTTTTTTCCCTCTGGGTT